ATATTTTGTATTATTATTATTAATTATTTTGTTTAACGGTTTAAGCTACACGTTAGGTTAATGTAATTAATAACATTATTATTATTATTATTATTCTTTTTTTGTTTGTTATATTAACATCATCATGATTCGATTTTGTTTTTTATGTCACGCATAAACTTTTTTTTTTTCCATCGTTTCCAGTATTTGAATAAGAAACCAATTTTTTATTGGTTACTCCGTTAGTTCCTGAAGGAGAGAGAGAGAAAAAAATTAAATTAATAAAATTTTTCTAGATTTCAAATAAAGACATTATTCGGAACCGAATATTGCAAGTGAAGTAAATAAAAAAAAATGTATTTAATTTGTAATTTTTTATGTATTAATTTATATATTTTTTTTAAGCTTTTTTTTTTTTTTACACTTTTTATATTATCCAAATTGTTACTTGATAAAGACTTACATTAATTACCTAGTACCTGTTGGTTTGCTGATTTCCTCCTCCTCCCATTTGGGCTCTTATTGTTGCTGCAGCAGCATCGCTAGCAGCATTTCTCACGAGTTGATTTCCTAAAAATTCTTTTGTAAATTCTTGTTGAGCCTTTTCAAAACTAGCTCCGGATGAACGATAAATTGTATGAATCTGAACATGTAACATAAATATATATATATTTGAGAGTAGTTTTAAAAGTTGTTGCATTTGCTAATATATTTTTTATTTTTATTTTCTTACTCTAGTTAAAAGTAATAATTCACCAGCAGCGAGAACAATAAAAGAAAAAGCAATTAAGAGAACAATTATGCCGACAATAATTGACCCAGCAGTTTTTTCTTTACTACTAAAACATGAAATAGCTCTGAGAATTCCACTACAAAAAAAAAAAAGGTAAGAAAAATTATTTAATTAAATTGGCTTTGTATTTCTTTTATACATTGCATTACTATTTAAAAAAGTAAAAATAAAAATGTCGAATTAAATAATTATTAAATTCATTTATTTTTAGTTATAAAAATTGAATTTATGTTAAAATGTATTGTTTTTTTTTTTTTTTTTTTAGAAAAGCCTACCATGTTCCTGAGCCGGGCATACCTATGGCCAAAATACTTGTTACAATAAACTGGAAAAAAAAAACAAAAAAGAAAACCATAAAGTTGAAAGAACTGTCACTTCTGAAAAAAACAAAAACAAAAAGAAGAAAATTATAATAAATTGGAAAGGTAAGTAATATTTATTAATTATTTAAAATTTTAAATTTTACCTAAATGCTTTATAAGCTGGACGATACCAACATAAAAAGGAAAATGGCGTAAATAAAAGTAAATAAAGAATTCCAACGCCGAATGTAACGAATTCTCCAAATTCAAGTAGTAACGCCAAACCGCCAATAACGTTCATTACCATAACGCATCCGTGAACTTTAAATATATATTAATTAATTAATTTAAAATTAAAAAAAGTGTAGGAAACAAAATTAAACTTTTAATTACGATATTTACTCACACATCCATACATAATATAAATGTCTAACAATTTTTTGAAATTCAGGAGGAATTTCAACACTTATATCTTGATAGAAACATGGTTGTACGCAAAAGTTTTCAGGTAAAGGTGGCCAATTATTTTTTCTGACTAAATAAATAAATAAAAAGAAAAAATTAAAAATTATTATCATTCTTTAATAGTATCATCATCTGAAATTCCATAAAAATAATTGTATGAATGCTATGAATACTTAACAATGTTTCGAATCTTTTAAAAATTAACAAAAA